CTGCTGCCAAGCTAGCTATTCACTATCTGGCTATAAATCTTGACCTGACATATGCATGTGCTATGTTTTCCAGCTTTCTGGCTTTCCAGCCTTTGTTTTGCAATCCCAGAATGATTGCAATTAAGGAGTACTACCTCATCAAAATGCCTATCAGCACACTAGCCCGTAAACACTCATAATAAGTATGGCTAATAAAATACAGTTTATTAGCCAAGCTTGTACAGTATTTTTACAGCCTTTTCCACTCATCATTGAGAAAAATAAATCCTCCACAGCTGTGCTGGAGCTGGCATTGCTGCCAGCCTCCCTTGGTCTCACCTGTAACGAGGTGAGTAATTAAAGTCCTTATTGGAGCAGCAGGGATTTTTTATTGCCTGCCACAATCCCATCCTCTTGCTCTCCTGCCTGGCTCAGAGAGGAGCTGCCACAAATGTTGTTTCCAAAATAGCTCAGCAACGAATCTTGCTTTTGTTGCGTTGAGCAGTGGAAAAATTCAGTCTCAGCTGCTCAACGATTCTCGTTTCCAGCCCCACAACACCAAGGAGAAATCGAGTGGCCCCTGCCAACTCTGGTCCGAAATTCCTGGTCGGGAGCACCGAAGAGCTGCCTGCAAATCACTGCAGCTGAAATGGGAACAGGCAAATTGCTGGAAGCAAGCAGTGGGGGGAAAATGCCTTCGCTCCATAAAGTTCTCAGGAATCAATTAGTCTGGAGTGATGGTAGATAAGCGATGATTTGTTTGGGGTTTAAGGGAACCATAAACATTTTGCTTTTATTTATGCCGTGACCTTGCTTGTTCTCAGCCACCAACTGGGCAAATGAACCACAAAATAGGAACATTGTAAAAAGCTTAAACTATTGATTCAAAGGAGAATGTTCTACTTAGTGGAAAAACCATGCACGGTCTCCTCTCACACAAGATATTGTTTTGTAGCAGGTTTGTTTCCCCCCCCAAGGTACTTGGTGAAGTCAATTATCATGATATATGGAGTTACTTTCCATGAGATAAACATAAAACCAAATGCCTGGCAGTAAACATAAACCTCCCAAGTTTTTCCTCCTTCTTCTGGCCTTTTATCTCTTTTTATTACCGCATTCAGAAGTATAAATTGGTAATTTATTGAAAAATGAATGGCAACATTTACTAAAGTGGCACTATTTGCTACCCATTTTGCTGTGAAGAGCCTGGTTTTAGGAGCTTCTTCCTTTATGTTTTTAAGACAAATGTAAACAAAAACGATCCTCAGAAGATGACTTAAATATTTTCCTGGTTTTCTTGTGTTCTTTAAAAACAGAGACACTGGAGGAAAAAAAGAAAATCGTTGAAAGGAGTTAAGATTTCTGTGTGAATCTTTTTTTCCCCCCATCAGACCTGCTGTGGCATTCCAGCACTGCAGCCTAGAGGAAAGACCACAGAGATGTGCCCTGGGCGCCTGAGAACAGCCAGCAAAACAGAAAAACAGCTTTGCTTGGGGATCCTGCTCCAGGGTAACAAAGATCCCTGTGACCCCAGGTAAAAATGGAAATGTTTGACCTGCTTAAGGCAACGAAGTCATCAAAGAGATTGCCCCCTCTTGGCAGCCAAGCTGCTGGGCTGTGCCCGCTGCCCTAGGAACAACACCTCGCTCTTTCAGCTGATGCCAGCAGTCTCTTGCCTGCAGCAAGGTTTGCAGGGAAGTGAAAGGTGAATTGCTGTTGGTGGTACAACCGACAGACCTAGGGAGGGAAAAAAAAGGTGGGAGCAAGGAAAAGGGCTGGGGAATCACCAGGGAGTGAGCTTGGAGTACCTCTGAGCTGGCCCTGAGACCTAAGTGGCCTTGAGGACACTGAGTCAGAGCCACGTCCCAGCTGCCAGTGTGTTCCCCAAAGACATCAATCAGTCCATGAAGCTGGCTCATTTTCCGTGGCACTTCCATGGGTGAGGCACGCACACTCCACCAGCTACTGCATTGCAACAAAGGCCAGGTTGTCTCCAGACGATGCTTGGTAACTTCTGCAGACCTCAGTTCCTTGCAGAGGACTAGTGGAGGAGCTCAAGGTTGTCATTCTTTCCCCTCCCGCAGGGATCAAAGTGATTGTGTGATGCTGCTAAATCACAAAGTGCTGTAAATACATGTTCCACATACGGCCTTGTAAGGTTCCCTACAGAACATCACCTCCTGGTCTTCCTGAGGCTCCTTCCTACCCAAGCCCCTGCTGACAGATTAGTGGCTGAACTGAGCAATTGAGGGCACTCCTCGCTGCCTCTTACACATAATTAAACCAGTTTTATTAATATCTTCACATAAGTAATTCAGTTGGACTGGAAGCTGTCCACATAAATTCTCTGTGACTACGCTACTTACCCCCTAATACTCCCATTTCTACAGAGCAAATCACTCATACCTTCTGCCGTGTCCTGGAGCTGAACAGACAGTGATAACTTTCTACAGGACAGATAATAAAATTAAATCCATTCAATTCCAGAAGTTATCACAATTCAGAGGAAGGAAGTCATTGCTATATTTTCCTTGTTTGTAACAAAGAGCCCATATAATTCCTCTAATGACAAGCGTATGAAAATTGTGTAGGATTTTTCCATAAGAGCAGCATCCTGGATTGAGAGAAAACATCTCCTTCTAAATTCATCCTCTAAAGCACTCTAACCCTCTAAAAATACAGTCTAAGAGTGAAGTCACACTGTATTAAACACTGTAATATTCTATTTTATACAGTTCTTATACAACCCCCTTCACCAGATGCCTTACGCAGTGCCCTCTAATGACTCAGGCATCCTTAAGTTGCCCTCTCCGCAGTGGAGAACAACCACATGTGAGTAGCCTAGGGGTGGATTTGGATTGGGTTCTGTGTCTAAATGGCTTTGATACAGCTGCTTGTTGCTACACCTTAATATCAGAGAGGTAAGGCAAAACAGGTCCACTATGCATGGAGGGAAAGGCAGCAGGATGTGTGTTTAGGAGAGCAACCCATGAAGAAACATGAGGGCGAGGAGCCCTCCTCTTCATCTGAGCCCCAGCAGCACTGCTGCGAGCACTGCCCTCAGCCTGCAGCTTTGGGAAGCTGCAACGTGGGTTAGAGACTCTTGGACAGGAGGCTTGGGGCCCTGGCCTGCCCAGATAGTGCTAGAGAGAGCTAATGCAGGATAAAAGCAAGTTTCTTCTCCAGACACCTTCCAATACAAATAGTTACTGGGTGGGAAGGGAACACGAATGCCATGCAACAGGGGAAGACCAGGAATTACAGCCTAATCCCTTCGTGCTGGCTAGAAGGGCCCTGGACACTGCAAATCAAGGGGCAGTGGGAACTTTCTCAGGCAAACCCCGACAGGCAAGGGATGAGTATGGACAAAGAATGAGATGTGGCATACTTTGGTGCCACGGGAGGGCTGGAGGATTTGCAAGTCCCACCCAGTATCCAAAATCGAGTTTAATAAAAGGCACAGCTCTGAGGATTGGAAGGGCAGAGTCAAGCCCAGCACACTAGTGAGAAAGGGGACTTAAATCAGTGCGACAGCAACTAAAGCCAACTACTACACTGCAGTGCATGAGCAGATGTGTAAAACATCCTCTCCTCTATGCAGGATTAATCCTCAGATTAGCACCACAAAACCACTTAAAAGAGAACTCAAATATGGCACTCAGTCCTAATGTATGAGTGTGAAAACCCAGCCCATGTGGCAGTGGATTTCTCCATCACCTTCCCTGCGAAACAAAATATTTCTGTTTAAACACTGGGAGAAGCCATTCTGTTCACTTAATCCTCATCTGTTGAAGAAGATGAATCAACACCTGTCACTTTTTTGTAACTCCTCAGAGCAATGGATTTACTCTGTGAGGAACGTAACAGAAAGGGATTGTGGTAAATGAAGGAATCCTGCAAAAAGCCACTCCCAATTTAAAGCAGATAATGAGCACCAGAGCTCGTGTGGAAGCAATTAATTCTAATCACTTATGAGACAATAAAATTTAATTATGGGTTCTTTGAAAATGAAAAACCCAACAATTATTGTTAATAGGCTTTTCCTGATGGCAGATAGCGAACAGAATTTGTTGAGGCTGTTTTTCCTGCAGTTAATTAAAAAAAAAGTCATCTTTTAGTTAAGGATGCCTACGCTTACACTGATACATGAAATGGTGCTACTGCACTCAGTTTAGATTCCACAGGACAGAAAAAACAATCTTTGACCAACTCGGCTCTTGGATATGCTTTCGTATAATTGGCATTTTCCTTTCTGCCGAGGTTTCAGATCTTTATTATGTGTTCAGAGGTACTCTCCTCCCATCTCAGAACAGCTGGATGTCTCCAGCTTCATTTCAGCTACGTTCATGCTAGTAAGAACAGAAATCGCAAGTGGTTTTTTCGTCATGCACTCATTTTGGAGCTGTAGGAGAGTTCTGGTTGGGGAGTAACAGTGCTGCTAGCCTGGAACACAGCACAGCCAAGCAGCTCCTGCTCTGGGCTGACAGGGCTGTGGCCCCCATTCATTCTGGACATGATGCCACTGCAAACAGTTTCAAATAAACTATTTCCCCTTCAGTCTATCAGTGTATCTCCTTTCACCCAGCCTGAACTGCATGAGGATATAGAAGGACCATCAGTTAAACTCTGCTCTGCCTCATTTTGATGCTCCACTCTTTTCTTCTCCCACATCCCTCCAGAGCCTGACTTCTCTTGCACTCGAGGCATCTCCCAGCCCTTTCAAAGGCTAACAACCTGTAACGCTAAGGGATCTATCAGAAATGACTTAGAAGCGTTTAGTAATAAATGTAAGCTAACAAATCTGGAATCTGCCCAGTAGCTTAAACGCCAGGCCTTCTTCCCCAGTACTTTTTATCTATGCCCCCTGGGACCTGTGCCTAAGTGCCCTTAGGAGTCTGCATTCTCTCTGTCTGCCTGCACAGGGTTCAGATAGTTAATTACTGTACTACACGTTACCAGTGTCTGTGATAACACGGGCACATACCTCCTCCTCTCCACCATTACAGAACTTCTTTGCTTACCTCTGCCAAGATCTAACAGCTGTATTTTGCTGTCCGCATCAACACTGCACAGGAGACACTCCCCATATTACTGAGGCACTGTGTGCTGGGTGTCCATGTAGCATCTTAGAAGGAGATGTCAATGATACAGGACTGCTGAGGCCTTCAGTTCAGGATTACCAGGCTAAGCTGCAAAACAGATAAAGACTGGTACCCTTATAGTCACTGGAAGAACACTATGAAGGAATTTAACACTTATTTTAGGATACACTAAGAACTCAGACCTGCCTGCAGTAAAAACACACTATGTATTTGCTTTCAGCTGGCCACATCAATACATTTAAAATTTGACTAAGGGCTCAGGTTTGATCCTCAGCAAAGGTCAGCTTTTGACCATGTCATCGTATTTCCCATCTTTACCATTCTGTCTCCAATAAATCATGAAAGGTAGCAAACATTTCATCCCATGCCATGTGATGCTTAGTCAAAATATAACCCACTTTTCCAAAAGTTTCTCTAAGATGCTTCTGTTGTAAGGGGACGGACTGCAATGCCTCACTCTCAGAGATGGTGAACAGCAGAGGGCCATTTTAAGCTCTAATGAGGTCTCATTACTATAAGAGATCTTGGAGTACAAGAGCTTGGCAGTATTTAGTAATGCTCAGGAAGTCAGAAAAAAAGAACAAGATTGTCTAGAACTGGAAGAGCGAATGTTTTTTTTTTCCTGAAAAAACAGCATCTGATTCCCTTTAATAAATAACTTGGCGATCATTTACACCAGAGGCTAAAAGCAGCATAAAATCAGCACATTATGCTGGCTTTGCACTAGTGTTAGCAACTCAGTAGAGACTGACAGAAACCAGATCTGGAGTGTTTAAGAAATTTCATGCTTCAGGAGTAAAAGCTTGACCTTTAATAACAAGAAACTTACCCTGGTAAAATGAGTTGTGCCAGAACTACAAACTCTCAGCACTCCTCGCAGCTCCCTGTAAAACAGTTGGCACTTGCTGCTCTTGGATACCAGTTTAGATGAACCAGAGCATTCATCCAAGATTGTGATAACCCCAAAGCACTAGTTTACTCCCTGGCAAATGTTTGTCATTTCCCCAAAGTACATCATCAAAACGTTCAAACATAATGTGCAACAAATGCTTTGTCTCCCAGTTTCATCTTTGCAAACTTCCCTGAATTAAAAGAGTTTATCTCAACTGGTATTATCACTCCGCTGAATTCAATACATTTTAATTATGAGGATGAGGTAGAGTTTAGCCTACCTAGCTAATGACAAAATATCATGTTCTCCATTTAATTAGGACAAATTAAAAGGTTCTTATTTAAATTCTATTCAATGGTAAGAGCGAAACAAATGTTCCACTGTAACTAGATTATTCCCTATAAATTGCATTATGCAGTGTTACATATTAAGATGCAGTAGGAACAAACCCAGAAGCTTTGGGTAATATTTGGCAGCAGATCTCAACGTCCTGCAGATGGCTACAGCAGTAGCACTCACATGCTTCATATGGCATTGCAGTGCCTCCTGTCCTTGCAGAGACAACAGCAATAATTATGTCTGCTGAAAGCTTCCCAAGGTCAAGGGCTGCTCCAACTATGATTTGGTGTTATAAATGCTATAAGCAGGAGGAGACAGAGGTGCCCTTTCCTTTTACCACCTCATCTCAGCTGTTGCACGAGCCCGACTTCCTGCTCGTGGTTGTTTGCATCTGGCTGGGATGCAGGCAGAAGGCAGGCCCTGAGCTGCTGATACTGCACGCTGCAGCTGTGGGTTTTGGTGTAGTGCTAACAATCCCTTCCCTGCTTTTATGAATCGCTTTACCATACAGACACAGAGGTGGTAAGCTCCTAGCCAGACTGCAGGATTCCTCTGATGCAAGCAGAGAGAACCCATGCACAAAGAGGCTTTTTAACCCAACATCCAGCCCAGCAAAACCTGCAAGCCAAACAAAGCATTGCTCTGCTCGCTGCCAAGAGCTTTTTTAGATCATGAAGTCTTTCCTACTTGTGTACTTCCTATGACTTTCAGAAACCTGATTTTGATACTTACAAATGGAGCAAATAAGTTTCCCAAGCTTTCCACTGCTTGTTTCGCTTACATGAAGTGTACACCTTCCTCTCCCTGTCTTCTAAGTCCTCTGCCAAGAAAGGAGAAAGTAACAGCACTGAGTTGTCTTCCCTCTCTTACATTCTTTTCTTCTTTCAATATGCCAAGCTATCTTTGCTCCAATCTCCAAGTGATTTAAATGATGCTAACTGCAGAGGAGTAAATTCAGGGAGCTGAACAACCCTGACCTCCCTAAGTCGAGCCTCCAGAGCTTCCTAGCACTTAGCACCCTTGGAGAGACACAGCTCCAGGGAACAACTCATGACTACTGAGAAAAACACATCCCTGTTATTAAAATTAGGTTCCTTCTTATTTCAGCATGGCTCTTGCCACCTTTTCTTGTGCTGATCTCAGAAGTTGAGCTTCACAGTCTCTTATACCTTCGTGTGTCTCTTTATCAACCCTTTTTTGAAGACACTAAAAAAGCATAAAACGATTTGACAGCTCATAGATTAGCAAATGGCCTTTTCTTGCTCTGAACAGTATCTTCTTTCATCAGTCATTGTCACTCTCCACAAGATTAATAAGAGAGACATTTATAAGGCAGAATCTGTTGAAAGCAGAGATAAGCATGGTAGAAAAGATACTAATTGTAACTTTTTTTTACACATCTGCATTGATCCCAACAGCTGTAGGTATTTAAAAATTTTCCTATCATGTCGGCCCCTTCATTATTGCAAAGAAGAAAAGGATATAGAGAAAAAATTAGCATTCAGTGTTGGCACGAGGTAAGCATGGGGATGACTTCCTGGCTCCTCTTGACCTTTATACGAGGTACAGTTTATCTTACATCAGTTGGGGGAAACAAGAACTTTTTTCTTCAGCAGGGGAAGAAGAGGCACCAAAAGGAGATGCAGGGAAGGACAGCTCAGGATGATGTATGGGTCTGCTTAAGTGGGGAGTGTATTAGTGATGCCTGCTTTGGAGGAGCAGGGAAGGGACTGGTGTTTAGCACCAGCAGCAAAATGGTAACCCTAATGCATAATTACAGAGTACTCAGCATATATTCAGTAGTGGTGTGTTTCTCTACTAAATTCCACTCTAATTTTATGAGAGTCTATGGACACCAAAGAAACTGTGGTTTAAGTACCTACAGCTGCTGCAATAAATAACAGGACCGCATAGATAGATGTACACGTAGAGCTTTGTCATCAGTGCTTAAAAACAAAACAAAACAAAACTATTTTATTAAAAAATGAAGATTTCCAGAATGAGTGGCTGAAATCCAGGGCATTTATTTCATTTTCAGCTCATGAGGAAAGTTACAAAATAGAAAAAGAAGAACACGAGAATACAGACATTTGAAGGCATCACTTTGTTCAGTACTAGAGGTAAAGGCAGGAGGGGAAGATGTGAGATGACACCAGTTGTTAATGGGATTTTTGCCACTGGAAAAAAAAAAGTGCAGGATGCATTTAGAGAAGTACTGCTTCATTAAGCACCGTTAGTCATTCCTTTCACAGCTGAATGGGTGAGCAGTTGATGGCTCTGGCCTCTTCTGGATGGGTGGGTTTGGTTTTTGATTTTGTTTGTTTGTTTGTTTAATAACATTTCTACCCTACAAGTGCAAAAGCTCTCCCTACGCACAGCAGGCAGGATTGTGCTCACCACAGAAGTTAGTCCTGATGACATGCCCACGATCAGAGCACTTGGAACATCAACCAGATCAGGAATTAAGTCTACACCTAGCTCTAAATTTGGTCCTGGCACACATCAGTGATTGTTCACAGATTCCCAGAGTACAAAAAGTCATCACAACTTCTGTCCCTTCCTTTACACCTTTCAGTAACAGCTCTCATCAGATTCAGTAACATTCCTGAAATGTTTTAGCATTAGTCCTACTTTGAATCTTCCAGCTCCAAGGGCTGCAACATGGGGGAAAAAAGACAACCGTGTGGTCCCTAGCTGGTGAACACTCAGGGGCAGTTACACTGTCTGCTGCCTACATTTACAGCATGCAGTCCTGTTGGCCATGGAGCTGCTGAAGTCTTCTGCTATCCTACCAGTTCGTGGTAATGTGCAACATGTGGCACAGTAGGAGTCTGCTCTGTGGGCAGCATTTGCAGGCATTGCTAGCGCTGAAAAAGCAGCAGAGAAGGCTGGAGTGAAAACGAAGGGGTCGCTTGTTTGGAAGGATTAAAGCACTGCAACACTTTCACCTTATTCTGAAAAGATTCAATTTTAATGCCCACAATCACAGTACAAAGACGTCTTTAGGGAGTTCCCCATTTTTGAAGCCAGACACAACGCTGAGGGCTTTTGCAATACAGTGATGGCAGCTTGAATTCAGAATGATGAGCCAGAATTTTAAAAACAGTAATAATAAAAGCCTGAAGGACTGAGCAAAATGTGGAAGAAATTCCAGTACACACACGTAGCCTCTGTCTCTCATCAGATCTGTAGGCTGCAGAAGAAGATGCTTAGCCAGGGTTAATAAAAGAAACAAAAGTAAGTGAATCATGCCCCTTAGCTAGAGCTACTGTAGGGAATCGTGGGGAATTTGTGTTCCTTTCTCTTTAAAGAGTTTCTATCACACCCCAACACCCTCAGCAGTTCTGTACCATGACAGGTGGTATCGCTGGGTAAGCTGAACAGGAGGATGTCTAATCATTATATAAAATTGTAAAATCCTCAACAATTAGCAATGGAAAGGAAGCTACACATCTTGCTATGGGAGTTTGGGGCTAGGCTCCGGCAGTCCAGCATGGGAACAGCTGGAAGTATGAACCCAAAAAAGGTCTTTCTAAGAAGGAACAGTCTTGGTTATCAAAAGAAGGAGCTACTCCCTCATAGGAGCATTTGTATCTCTTTCCATCTCCTCTGCTATGGTGGTGGCTAGATCTACCCCTCGAGTAAGTAATATTTGTTCCTAAGTGGAAATGGAGACAAGATGGTGGAAAGGCTGAGGAGAGGATGGGTTTCCAATGAACAATCAGAAGTATTCACTCGGAATTAGCTTGTGTAAGCTGGAAAGACAAACAGTGCAGATGCTATAAAATGCACAGTTAGGTGGATGATCTGAGATCCCCTCTCCCGTGGTGCCAGAAGCAGTAAGATTGCAGGCTGGACATAGCTCTTCTATGCAGCATTTCCATTGTCAAACTGTCTGTAGTGGAAGAGACTCTTGGAGTCCAATTTCCCAGAGTATTTGACAGCTTCAGCAAAAAGCTTTGTCACCTGTCAATACAAAGCAGAGGAAGACTGAGCATTGCAAAGCCTTCTGCAGAAGTCACCCTGGAACTGCCTGGAACACTTCTACACCGTCACCCTGGAACTGCCCTGGGCAGGTCCACTCCTTTAAGTCCATCCACATCGATACCAATTTCAAGGTGGCTTCATGTAGCTGTTGGCTCTAGCATGCTGGAGCTCTCCTGCCCACCTGGAGGGATGTAGAGCTGCTGGGCTTCTTTGGCAAGATGGTTCTGTCCTGGGAGAGCTGTTGTTCCCCCTACCACCCAAGCCTTTAAGAGAACACCGGGCTGTTCTTTTAAAACTCAGTCAAACTCTGCAATCAGAAGTGTTCACCTGCATCAAGCAGCTGTGGTAATAAATTTTGGCTAGAAGCCCTGTTCTGGCTGTCAGTGTGTGTTCTGCTAGGAGGCAGAGGATGGATCTTCAGTTCCCCGTTCCTGCTAATTATGTTTGGCATCATCCTGTCTAGGAACTTGGAGCTTGGCACTCTTTGCTTTCCACTCACTCCAATCACAGCAGAAGATTTTGCACAGCTGGACACCAGCTCAAGCCACTGGGTTCTACATCGGTGCCCAGTGAAATCAAGGGGAATTTGGCCGCTGTGTTTAATGAAAGCCAGATGAGGCCCTTTTGTGACAGTTGAAGCCACTTGCAAAGGAAGTCAAGCTACCACTGGCAGCAGGAGTCCTACTTTCATTTCTAAATATCCCTTCCCCTATCAGTATGTGAATGGGCTTTGTCAGGAGCTACAAACACATAACGACTTGCAACTGGGGACAACAGGACTAAATACACAGGCAGCAATTCCATTTGGATGGTACTCTGGAACTGGATTGACCCATGGGTCATTCAAGAAAGCCCAACTATGTCCTGCTTGAAGCTTTAAGAACCATGAACTAGAAAAACACCCCACTAAAAAAATCTTTCCGTGCATAATTTAAATGTTGCAGGGAATCCTGTGCAAGGAGTTTGCTCTGAATTGAAAATGACACAGCAACAATTTCAGCTACATTACAGGACCCAAGATATTTTTTTTCCTTCTATATTCCATTTTAAGCAATGTTATTTTGCATAATAACAAAAGGAAAATACACTCAAACAAGTGTGTTGCCCTGATTTTCTGGCACATTATTATTTATCAGAAATAATGAGGGTCCAAATACACTGGCACCTAGCGCTCCAAGTGCTTCAAAGCTCTGAAGGCTCCTGTGATTAAGAACAACATGGGAAGTACCTGGAAGTTAGTGAGTAGAGCAATCCCGCTGTCAATAGCCATCCTCCGGATCATGTAATTATCATGGACAAACTTGGTGTTGCTGTTGGACAAGTTAATCACCAGATCTATTTTCCCATCCCTTATCAGCCTGAAGAGACAATGCCCAAGATAGTATCACAGTGTATCTTGCTTAACGAAAATATGTGATGAATACAAAGTCATGCAGGTAAACAACACTGAAAATTTTCATTTGCATTTAGTTTTTGATGTCAAGTCTTACACCCTGAGAAGGAAGGGGTGGGGGGTTGAGGTGCTAAGCTAGGCTTCGAGAATTGGGGTTTTATTTCTGTTCTATTCATTAACACAAAGCAATATTCAGCCTTCATACAGCTCAGCACAACTCTGTTAAAGGTGTCATGGACTGTTACTACAGGCTACATATCCAAATCCCACATATTCTTGCATGAAAACATAACGTGGAGCTATACATCCATGCTGTATTAAATAGGACTGTTCAACGAGATATTCGTTAATTACAGTAAAACCTCCCTGCTGTCGCAATTCTGGGCAAAATCAGATATGATTTTTGCACTGAATCCTGAAGTCCC